CTGGCTGCGCCCAAGGCCAAAGCAAGCTTGGGGCGCAATCATCCACATCCACTGCAGCAGCCTGGACCTTGTCGGCCTCAGCAGCATCGGCATCGCCGGCAGCCTCATCTGCCACCACGTCTTGCTTTGTCACTGTGCCCTTCTCAGTCTGCAGTTGCTCCTGAATGGCCGTGGGTACTCGGACTTGTTCGTCTTCTGACTTCAAGCCCACGTTGCTGAAGCCTCGGGATCTGTTGTTCCCTGGCAAATCCACGAAGCGCCGGTCTCTGACACTCGTCGTGAACTTCTTGCCTAGGACCACATGGACTGTCTCCACGTGGCTGATTGCGCGGGCTGTGACACAATTCTTGACGGATCTGGGGCCGGCGTATTGTCCAACCTGAAGTTCGCGATTATGGTGGAAGTAGTGGTACTCCTCAGTTTCCAGGCACGACAGCCAATTTTCATTGGTGATCATGCTTGTCTGGTCTCTTCCAATCACTCTCCTTCCTTGTCGCTCCTTCTCTCTCCATCTCTGTCTTCTGTCTCTCTGTCTCTCTGGCTCTGTCTCTCTTTCTCTTTCTCTCTCTCTCGCTCCTCTCTCTCTCTCTCTATTTTTTTTCTTTTTTTTTCTCTCTCTCTCTCTCTCTCTCTCTCTCTCTCTCTCTCCCTCTCTCTCTCCTCTCCTCTCCCTCTCCTCTCCCTCTCCCTCTCTCCTCTCTCTCTCTCTCTCGCTCTCTCTTCTCTCTCTCTCTCTCTCTCTCTCTCTCTCCCCCCTATTCCGCCTCCCCCCCCTCCCCCCCCCCCCCCCTCCCTTTTTTCCTCTCCCCCCCCCCCCAGCCCCCAACCCGCCCCACCCCCCTCCTGCTTTCCTGTTTTCATCATCAACAGTTAACGCAGCAAACTCATTGATGCTCAAGGTGCGCGCGCGCGCGCGCGCGCATCCTTGAGCATCAGCGCCCTCGCATCAGCGCCCTCTCTCTCTCTCTCTCTCTCTCTCTCTCTCTCTCTCTCTCTCTCTCTCTCTCTCTCTCTCTCTCTCTCTCTCTCTCTCTCTCCCCCTCTCTCCCCCTCAGCTCCCCCTCAGCTCCCCCTCAGCTGCCCCTCAGCTCCCCCTCTCTCCCCCTCTCTCCCCCTCTCTCCTTGTTTCTCAACTGATTACTTCAAATTGCTTGCTGAAGTCTTCCAACCTCTTGCTTCTTCTCTCAAACAAGAAGAGTCATGCGGCAGCAACTGAACAAGCAACATCATGGTAATGCAGCTGGTTCGCTGTCATCTTGCGTGTTGGCAAAATGGAGAGAGGCACTGTCTTCAGGCTCTTGGACAATGCCGACTTCAGATCGCCGGTCAAGTAGCGGCCGTCGAAAAACATTGCCACATCCTTGTCTCTCATGAGGCGGTCGTCCGGGTTCTCGGGGCTTTCAAAGAGCACTGCCATCATCTTCTTGGCATGTGTGACATCTCCCGGAGCAAAGAATTTCCAGGGGGATTTCTGTGCATCCGGCCCGCTCTGGGTCAAATGGCTCTTCACATCCCAGATGTACAGCCTGGCATCATCGTCTTGCTGCGGCGGGGTCGGATCGATGTCGCCGATATCGATGGTGACATACCGGCCGATTCCTTTTATCAATCAACAGTTTGGCAGTTCACATGAAACGTACATCAAACACCCACAAGGGATAGAACACTGCAAGCACGCTATCGCAGGCCCGGAGACGTAGGCGGCTCCTTTCCAAGATGTCAGACAGCTTCTCCTGGTCGATCTTTGCCAGGATACTCTTCTGCATCTCTGTCAAATGCAGATGCGGGAAGTGGCAGGCAGGATCGAACACAGCAGCCGGTTCTGGCTCCAAGGGGTCTGGCACGCAAGGCTCTGCTTGCACTGACTCTTCAACCTCAACTTCTGTCGGCTGGCTGTCCTGAGTCTGGGACGCGGGCTGATCTTCTGGAGTCGGAGGTTCATTGACCGGCGGCGGGCGCAAGGCTTCGGCATGCATCTGCATGGCTTTCGTCATGTCGAACGTCTCCTTCACACGTGGCCGCTCCATCCACAGCTCGGCTGCTACGAGGAAGTCTCCTCGCACAGCAATGTCCATTTCTTCCACAAGCAGCGGGGCATTGTTGAGCAGCCTGCACATAAACTCCAGGGCCAACTGCTGTACCTCTGGCAGCATGGAGACCCACTCCAAGCTTGTTCCACCCATGGCAAGTCCACTGTCCTGGAATGCGAGGTATGTGGAGGTGACCTCATGAATGGAACCGATGCGCAGCATTCACAGAGCTGCTTTGCGCTTCGCTCTCAGACTGTAAGTTCGCGGCCTTGCTCAGAACCACGGCCGGAGATCTGTCGGCAGCATACCTTGCACGGCTTAGAAACGATCGACGATTTAGGATGGACATTCAACGAACAATTCCATTGCCAGCGAATGGCTGCTTTCCTGGAACGACCGGCAGCTTCAGCTTCTGCGAGATAAAGGTGCAGACGCGCTTCTTCAGGAGCTCGCGTCCGATGCCAGTCACTGGATTTAGCTTCTCCTTGTTTGTGCCCAGCTTGAATCCTCAGTTTCACTGGACTCAGACTTGCACTTAGTATGTTAGGGGGCGCCCAAGGGGGGGCGGGGTGGGGGCCTCACGGGATTCCTTGCAATCCAAGGTTCCGTGGAGATAGCCTTCAAGCGCCCACTCAAGTAGCAGGTTCGCAACCGACGCAGTTTTGCACGACGTCCTGGCGCACAAAGTATCCAAGTTGCTGATGCTCGCATACGTGTGGCTGGTTGGCCCCACAAGCGAGTCTAACTGCTCGAGAATCTCCTGGGCTCGTGCAGTGAATCTGGAATGGACTCTCCTTAGTGGCGTTTAGGCCCCAGCTATGCAGAAATCATGCAAATGGACCTGCTTGGACGCCACGTCTGCAAATAATTTGGCAATATTTCCTGTTGGCAACCTTATAACCACACTTAGATAATCAGTTATAACTCCAAAACGAGAGTTACGGAGCATTTATAAGTACTTTATCTAGCAGAGAAGACTTCTAAGTCCTCTTCGAAGACCAAAAACAGCAGCCAGGAAGCCAAGAGTTGCACACCCTGAGTTCAAAAAATCATGTGTCTCATTGCAAGAACATCGAAAACACACTGGCTTTGAATCGTACATGTGTTTTGGGGTTCAGCTGATCTATGAATAATCCCTTCCCCTTAACACTCCCCCCCTCCCTAATTCTGTAATTGGTAGGGTTTCAGGCTTTCTTCGAGCGGTGTAGGGTGTAGGGTGTAGGGTTGATATTATAGGGTTAAGGGTTTAGCACCCTAAACCCTAAACCTGATCTCTAAACCCTTAACCCTAAACCCTACATCCTTAGGGTTTATAAGGGTTTAATCGCTCACACTCGGACAAGCCAGGCGAGGCATTCAAGGGTTTAGGGTTTATTACCTTCAGGGGTGTGTGTGTGTGCTTGTTTCTCTCGTCTGCTGTGGTTTTGGCTTTGCGTGGCGTGCGACAGGCATCATTTTCTGAAAGTTTCCGTCATATAACGATGGGACATTCCAGATCCTGCGAGGATTTACGAAGCCAGCCAGCGGATTTAAGTGGGTTATAAAAAGGATACATTTCGCTTAGAAGTAAAGATCGTATTTATAATCAATTCACATTTATAAATGAAGTGAATACTTGGTTTATGATTATAAGATTTTCGATTCAATTGCTCACTTCTAAACACAGCTACCCCAATTATAAATGATGATGCCTGCTTACAAGTATGCTTACAACTACTCACAACAAGCATCAAAGTAGCCCGGGCGCATTCTCGTTGTGATCGTCTTCGCGGTGACATCTTGCATCCTCGCCTTGCAGAAGAACGCCGCGACATTCTGATTAGAGTCCGCTGCATGACCCTTCGAGAGAACCTCACCGGATTTCCCAAGGGCTTCCTTCACTTCCACAGTCCCGAGAACAATCTTCCACCCTGTTAACGTCTCATTGGCCGCTCGGTTTTCCAAACCAGCCACAATCTCCTCAGAAGAGATTGTGTTCGCTATTTCTCAAGAACAGAGCCCATATGCACAACAAAAATGCAGATCAGAAACCCACTTCTTCAGAGCACTGTCGATGTCTTTCACACAGAGTTGGAAGCGAACACGAAGGCACTTGGCAGCAGCGCGAAACTCGGCAACGCCAGGCCCACCGTCCTTCAAGGCCTGGCTGAAAGCATAGTCAAAGGCCGCGACGTAGCCGTCGTTGCCGAGAACCTGGAACATTCCTTTTGGAGGCGGACTGCTGGCCGACGTTGCGCGGACCGGAATTGGCTCCCAAGCAGTCGTTGCGCTCCAGCGTGTTCCATTGTGCCACCACTGTTTCGCCAAGCCTCGGCTGTTACGCAAGAGAGATTTGGCTTTGCGGCAGGGAACCACGACAAGACGAAGCTCTCCTTCTGCGTCATACACAATGCAAGCAAGAAGCGGACGATTGAGCCCCAATTGGGAAGGACAGTTTCATGGGCAAGGCACAATTCAGGCAGAAAGGCCCGTGTCACACAGCACTCATAATCCGTATCCTTCTTGAGCACACGCTTGTAGGCATCCGTGTCGAGCTCTGCCACTCCACTTTTGCTCACCGGCTCCACGAAAGCCAGTTTCTTGTACTCGTTCTCCAAAGATGCAATTACGGTCTTTAGTTGCACCACCTAAGCTTTTGACAACCCAATCACAGGCACTCAAGCCCCGCAACAGAACATGCCCCTGCCGACATGACAGCTGAGACCTCGACTGTGGGATGGTTCACCAGGGCAGATGGTGTTGCAAGGGCCGTCTTGGCCTTCTTGCCTGGAGGCATGGTCTCCAAGAGACCAAAGATCAAGAACCGCTGGTAAGCAAAAATGTCACTCATCAGCAGCACGCTCAAGGCACGAATGTTGCAGTGCCAGGCATTCATGTCAGAGTCAGTTGCTGGCTTTGCAAATACGGACGCACACCCCGTTTCATGTCTTTGCTCTCGCAAGAAAGCCCTCGACGCATAGCCTCCAAAATTTACTTCTGATCTTTCATCAGAAGAGAACACAGAATGGCACAGAATGGCTGCGCGGGCGGCAACTCCCAGGCGAACTTCTGTGCGTGGTACGCGTTCAAGCTGCGCCATGGCCAGCCCTTGCATCGCAGCACATCCTTGTTGAGAACCGGACGGATCACAGGCTCCTCGCCCGGCAATGCCATGATCTGAGCCCGCGTGGTCATCTCCCATCTCCCGTGCGTGAGCTTCTGGTGAATCTTGAGGGCATACCAGGATGGGAACTCCTTGCAGCTGTCATGGACCTGCACCAAGTAGTCGGCAACCTTCTTGGTCTTCTCGAGGTTCTTGCCCGGCAACTTCAGGTACTGCAAGCACTTCTTCACCGGCTTCGGAAGCTTCGGATATCCAGGCACGTTCTGTTGCAGCTCTTCTGTGGTATTCTCTCGATGACAGAAGTATGTCCAATCCGGCTCCGGGGCAGGGAAGGTTGATCCTTTGAGAGCCATGTCCAGAATTCCCTTGGTTTTCTTTTCGGCATCTGGAATCATTGCACTGAGTCGGCTCAAGAAGAGCCCATCCAAGGTCAGGATCCAGAAGTTTCCCTTGAGCTCCACATTGTATCTCGTCTTCAATTTAGACTCGAGCTCTGAGAGGCCTTCACGTTGTTTATGCTCCGGGCACGCGTGCACGTCAATGATTGCAAGCCTGACAGTGAAAAGACCCAGGCAAGCAAATGGCACAGTCATTGCTGCAGCATGCCGTCAATTATTTTTAGAAAGCTCGCACCTCGGCTTCAGTAGTTCCATGTAGGCCACCATCTCCTCCAGGCCGTCCGTGTGCTTTCCATTGCTGATGTCCCGGCTTCGAAGATGAAGCAAGTCGATCGGGCCGGCGATCTGCGCACATGCGGAGGACCTGCACGTGAAGCAAAACAAGGGCTTGCCGTTGTCAGTCTGCACGTTGTGAAGCTTGAGAGGTTGCTCACGAGAGCCGTCGGCGCTGCAGTAACGAGCACGGAGCCAGCACGTGTCTGCCTGCGTGCAAGGAGAACCCCGCAGCAACACACACTGAAACAGGTAGTAAATGATTTTGCTGGCTCCACTGCCATGCCTCATCGAAGAAATTAATGTACACGGCGAAGTTGTCTGGACCCATTCCCAGGCAACGAAGCATGCGCACAGGGTCTGCCCCATGATTGCACACAGCGACTCGCATGCCGGGCACTGTGTAAAAACAGCAAAGAGGCTAGAAGCGAAAGACTCGAACCTGGATCGGAAGCTCTCATCCCCAAAATGGCAACTCCTACCGGGAAGCCCCTGTGGGGATGACTGGGCCCAGTCATCCCTGAAAACAGGTTTTTTCCAATGCCGGGCAAAGTTCTCAATCTCAACCCTACAGAAGAATACCATTCCGGATATGATTCCCCACGCCTGCCAGGGATGACTGGGCCCAGTCATCCCTACCCAAGGGTTCTGTCAGGGGCAGCGATTCTAGGGATTACCTTTGAGACTCCCTACGTCATCTGGGCACAGCGTATCTCTGGTCTTGACAGGTCTTAGGTCTTGAAAGAGACGCGCGACCTGGCTGAGCGCCTGGCTGAGCGTCCAGCAACCAGCCAGCAGCCGCAGGCAAGCGCCTGACGGAAAAGAGACAATAGACCGCCCAAAACTTGTAATCAATGACTGCACACAGACGACACCGTCGTGAAAACCCAATGTCTTGTGATCAGCAGTGACATACTTTTTGTCCTTCACACAAGCCAGCCGCTGCACCCCATGGGCTCCCCCAGGCTGAGCGCACACATGTCGGTGTTCATCACCGTGAGCACGATTTCTCGTGTTCCCCCAGCAATACTGTCATCTTCAACAGTATCTCCGATAGAGTCAGGCCTGGGTGATCTTTGATATGTACATCTTCTCCGGCCGCCTTGACTATGTATGTGACACCAGGAAAGGGTTTTTCGGGAAACGGGTCCACACGCAGATCTTGAACCGTGAGCCGTTTCACCTGCACGCCTCTGCTCTTCATTGTCGGGCTGAGCTTGGCCCACTCCCTGAACACTGAGGCATGCTCCGGGAATGCAAGGAAGAACCCTGGGCTCAAATACAGGTCGAAGTGCATATGCTTCATCACCGACTTAAATGCATAGACCTGTGCCCCTTCATCGGACTTCGCACCAGAGGCCTGGGACTGCAGCCAAGCCTGGTTCACCAGCCGAGCACCAGCAAGACGTGCCAGCAGACCTTGTGAACTTTCCCAAGCTGCCACGGGATCCCGTACCAGCACGACGTCGGGCAGTTGGAATTCTGGGGTCTTTACAAAGCGTGATGGTGCTTTGACTCTGGCCATGGCAGGGCACCGATGCAGCCGAGGCTCCAGAGGCAAAAGAGGTGCTGCCGAGGACTTGACAACAGGACCCTGGTGCGGCCGCATTAAGCCACCGTTGGCATCCACGTAAGGAGTGGGCACGCATGGCACACTTCGTTCAGCCATCTGCCGCTTCATCTCCAAGACATAGGCCTGCTTCTCAAAAGCATCACCAGAAGCAGCAGCAGCAGCGGGTTGTTCCTCTCGCACTGATCTCGCTGGCGGCGCAGCCGAACTGGAAGAAGCCGACGACGCAGAAGCGCCTCCAGCATGAGAGAGCATCCTCCGTTTTGTGGCCACCTCCACACACGCAGAGGCCTGCTGGGAAATGATTCTCTTGGCACCTCGTTGCTTTTGGTCAGGTAGCAACACCGGGCCTAATGGGCCATTGGCTTCGCCCCCGCCACCCTCGTCGATTTTGTTGACTGCCTTGGACACTGCATCCCGGTGTTTCTGCAGGAGGGCAGCCTCAGAGTACTGGCTCTTTTCCCGCAGCGGCGCCAGACGTGGCTTGCTGGCTTGCGCACGGGACTTTGCCACGTTCTGCGGTTGCTGGCTGTCCGGCTCAATCCGTCTCCCTGGGAGGCATCTGTCTCCATACCACATTGAGTACAATTTCTGGCAGTGCAACGCGTACTGGGTTGCCGGCTGGGCAACAACTACCCCGGCAGCTGTCGTCTTGGGAACCTTTTCCACCAAAAGCTCGGCTGGATCCAATTTCTTCCTTGCACGACCACCCAGGTCCTGCACAGTCACACGCAAGGCGGACTCTAACCCCCCACGAGCAATGTGACCCCGCCGGAGCGACTGCAGCTTGACCTGTCCCAAGTAGCGATCCACAGTGCCAGAATTGGACATGTTGCTCAGGTAGATCTCGACAAGCTTGCAAAGTTCCTTGTGATCAGGACCGGATTTCTGCCTGATCTCCTGCCACGCAAACAGCCAGCCTCGCTGGCTTGGTGTGTCTGGCAGGTGAGCAACAATCTTCTTGTGCGGGTCTTGTGGCCGCCGTTCTGAAAGAGCAATGCCAGGAGGAGATATATGCCACTTGGCCCGCTCAAAGAATCCTGAAGGGAGCAATGGACATTCGGGAGGAAGACGGCGCGAGATCGGAAGGGGATGGAGACAGAGAGAGTGAGGGAGGCGAGAGCGCTGCAGAGAAAGAGAAAAGTCTCCCAGAGACAGGGACGGAGCCTGAGCGACAGAAAGATACGGAGTAGGTGTGAAAATGAGACAAGGACATGGAAAGTAAGGGCCAGAAACGATAGTCACGTGAGAGCGTGAGCCGGAGTGACGCAGAGTCATTGGTCTCCCTGAAGCCCCAGGGCCTGTTCAGCACTCGACCCAGGCACCTGTCCGGAACTCGACCCCAGTGCCTGTCCAGCAGCCCACAGATTGAACGCCCACATAAGAACGAAGCTCAAAACCCACCGAATTCATGGACTGAGATATAAAGCCCAACCCGGGTGGAGAAAACTGTTGCTGATCAACATTATTATTGAGGACAAGGCACCGTGTTTTTTGTTTTGTTTTATACTTGTCGCTTTCTCTTACCCAACCTAAATCTGAATACGATAACATCAATGATGTCAAAAAGTCTGTGGGTGAACCTTATGGCTTAGACTTAGAAGTCTTTGGGGCGGAGTTGGGCGGAGAATCCTTCAGTCCTCCCGCAAAACTTCGCCATGCCTTCTGAGGATCCAGATTAAAGCGGCCGCACAAGGCGCCCACAAACTTCTTCCGGTCCTCCCAGTGGATGTCCTGCTGCAAGTTGAAGGCAGCAAAACAGTTGGAGTCCTGCCAAGGCATTGTTCAATGTTCAAGATAATCAGTAGCCTGTGACATGTGAGATTGGGAACAATCACTCAGTACGGCTGACAGGTGACTAAGCCGACGCGAGGTCCTCGAAATTCGGAAAATTGGATTCAAAGAAAGAGCGGAACAATTGGAAGTACCTTTGTCTGAGTCAGGCACGGAAGCAGATGTTGATTGATTGGGAAAGCACGGGTCAGTAAAAGTTTGCCAAATGTCAAACGAATCACTCTTTGGCCAGTGAGCGAGGGCGTCGGCGCTTGCCCTCCGCTGCCGGCCAATTCAAGGCAACAGCTTTGTTTTCACCGACATACACCAAGCGGTTCTTCATGGCCTCCAGCGCCGCGTGTGTCAAGGTCCCAGTGGCCTCCTGCATGAAGAGGCCGCCAGCATCCAGCATTTGACGCATTTCGTGCAGCAGTTGCGCTGCCCGTGGCCCGCTCAAGCTCGCATCAGCCGCCGCCTCATCGTCCAGCCTTATAAAGTGCCACCCCATCACTAGGGCGTCGGCGGCCACCGCCGCCGAAACCACCCTCACGAACCCCTCGTCACCGGCAAACATGGCCAGCAGGGTTGTTGCGTGGCAGCGTTCCTCGGCAGATCCGCCCTCCACTAAGAACCGCAGCGTGTCGATCGCAGCTGGCAGGATTTTGAAGAGGCGGAACAACGGCCTCGAGCGAGAATCGAATCTGACCTCGCTGTACGAAAGGTTGCGGATGGTGTGTCCAAACTCCTCAATTTTGACACCGGTCTGTGCCAAGGCGAAATACGTGGCGTACCTCTTGCTGGTTTGGATCAACTTGCACAAACTGCGCTGGCCAGTCACGAGCATGTCCAAGAATTCACGAACCGTGCTATGCAGGTTGCTCCACACCCCTCGAATGACACTACGATGTCGATGGGGACGGTCCCTGTCAATGAGGGAGAGGTTGGGAAAGTATGGATTGGCCTGCCGCGTGGGCTCCAAGACACTGCAACTCGGGGAGCAATGGAAAAGAGCTTTCTGTCCTCCGTCGGCCACGGCCGATCGAATACTCGCGAGGAAACCTGCCATGGCCTCCTTGGCTGATTCGATGCATTACCGTATTGGCTGCAGAACAGGACACTTTGAGAGGAGCCCGTCCTCATCCAACTTGTCGTCTTTGGAATCATACAATGAGACCTGCAAAAGAAATGTAATTACTTCTACCTATTCTTGCATGGAATGAACTTAATCATATCACTCCACCCAACCTTCACGTCTCGCCGGGACTTCTGGTTGACACAGGCTCTCTGGACGATGTTTTGAATCGCTTGGGTCACATGCTCCGCGTCAGGGCCAACATTACTCTCCAAGCCGAGCATGGCATCGAAGATCCCTTCCGGGATCAGAACCCTGGCTATCATGATAAGATTGTCATCACTCTTGTCCAGGGCAATGCTGCTGCAGATGGCTTTCTTGATGACTCGCCTGTTGCGGTCCTGCAATGGTCCATCCAAGCATGCGACCATCTGCTTGAACTCCTGTTGGCTGCCTTTGCCGCCCACCTCCAGGCTTGAGTGGATGGACAGCTGACTCAGCCGGTCCTTGTACGAGTCATACGTATCGTACTTGATCACAGAGGTTGCCGCTGCCACAAAGCGGTCAACTCTGGGAACCTGCGAGCTCAGGCCAGAAACGTGACCTTCGATGTCGAGGGCAATGTCCTCTGAAGTGCCGGCTGGCTCCAACGAGGCCTGCAACTTAACCAGGGCCGCCTTGTGCTTCTCACCTTGAGCATGCGTGAGCAAGTTCTGAATTGCCACCGTCCCGGCGCTTTGCACTCGAAGTCGACCGAAGGCTGACTTGCATCCCATGTGGTGGCACAACCAGCAACCCATGCCCCATCCACTCGCAGCTTCATTCATGGCAGGACCAGTCTCCATAACCCACGAGTGAATCTTCTTCGTGGCAGGATGACAGAATGTGAGTCGCCTCTTCCAGGAGTGGTGCCAGGAGGCCATTTGAGGCAGGCGAGTTCCCTTGCGAAGACGTCCAGTGTAACCTGAGCGCAGACTGACAGGAGATCAGCTGCTGCGAACACGCAGCGGACTCGTCAGATAGGTTATCATGAGTGTTGAAAAGCGAACTATGAAACGAAGAGAAACACACATGACAAAGTCTGCTTCGGCCTTGGTGTCACACTGCTATTGTTATTATTGTCAAAAACCAAGCAGACTGAATTAGACATGCCACAGCCTCTGCCCCACGAATGCTCTGCTACACTTACAAGGGCACACCGATATCCAGGCTGCTAGACACCCTGAACCTTCACTGAGGACAGAGATGGAAACAGCCCAGACAAGCTACCTTGTCGCAGGCGGCAGCGAAGGCAATCAGGCAAACACGGCTGACAGGGACGGCTTGCCCAGCCAGCTGTTCCAGGGGCATCATCAACATCGTCTGGTGACAGCATGCCTTCTAATTTGTCTTGATGATGAAGTGTCCATCACAAGTAGTTCAGACGAACCTGCATGTAGTCAGTGTCCATGTTTTATTTTCAAAAATATGAGCACATATGAAGACCTGAATTTTGGCCGTTCTTTAATTTACAAAAACATGAGCACATATGAAGACCTGAATACTGGCCAGAGCTCGGAGTTTCGTTCGCTCACGAAAGCACATGAGCACCATTCCCTGATACCGTTGTCTAGCACAGCAAGCAGAGGCGGCTCAGAATCTCCGGCCTCGGCCAGCTCAGCAAATGTGGCATCAGCCAGCCCCACCAACAGCAGACCTCCCGGTTTGCAAAGCAACAGAACAGTTCCAGACCGGTACGGACAGTGATAAGATTGGAAAGTCACGCGTCTGCTGTGTTTACACCAGAGCCAAGAGTAACCTAGCCAAAACGGGGTGCCTTTTTTGGTTTCAAGGGGCTTATCAGGGCCGACACTGGGTCCTAGTAGCCCTCACAAAATCCTAAACCCTAAACCCTAAACCGCACAACTCGCGGACTGACTTCCCCGGGCGGTCGCATCGCTGACGAGCAGCACACGAAGGCTGTTGGCCCCAGGCGAAGGCCGTTGGCCAGGGAGAGCTGGCACGTGCAGTTGTTTACTTGGAGGTTCATGATACTTAGTAACTAATTATACTCCTTTTACTTAGGGACTTAGGGTTTTAGGGTTTAGGGCTTGATTGTTCACTTCGGTTAGGGCATACTTGGAGGTTCAGGGAACTTATTATAAGTGTAGTTATAACCCACCTATAAGCCCCTTAAGTACCCCAATAGGGTTACAACTGGGTTATACGTACAGTTGTTACGAAGCACCATGAACCTCCAAGTAAGGCATGGTTATAGCGGTATAGCAGCCCCTGATAATCCCTAGACTGCTAGTATAGGGGGGGAGAATCCCACAGTTTAGGGCACAAGGCATGGGTTTAGGCTTGGGTTTAAGGTTTGGGGTTTTTCAAGATCGCAGCAACTTCAGCAGGCTATTGAGGTGAAATCCATGAACCCTAAACTGACCCTTACCCCTTCTTACCCCAAAGCCTGAGACCCTAAACCCTAAACCCTAAACCCTAAGCCCCCGCACTCCCCTAAGCACCTCAAGCCCCCTGCTAAGCACCCCTCGACCCTCCGAACCCTTGATAGGGAAACCCGTAGGGCCTTGCAAGGGGGTTCCCCCGGGTTCCCGCATAAGTCTACAAATCACCGGTAACCCGCTCTTATGAAGCTTGACGCATTCATGGGAGGTCATCGTGTACATGCTATGAAAACAGAAAGACAACTCTGTCGCTTCGCGAAAACGCCATAAAACCCAAGGGCCCATACTTCAGAGCACGAAAAACTAAGAAGGTAAAGGACATTTTGCGGGACCATGGCCCTTAGACGAAGCCCTAAACCCTCCTCAGCCCCTCCTAAACCCTCCTAAGCCCTCTTAAACCCTCCAAAGCCCTCCAAGCCCTCGTAGGCGCCCAAGCCCTCCTAAAATCTCCGCAGCGCCCAAATAACCCCTAAACCCTCCTAAGCACCCGATCTTTACACCCTAAACCCTGAACCCCAAGCCCTCCCAAGCCCCCGAATCTTTCACCCCGAAACTCTTGGCCGGCGCGGCCGCGCAGTACTGTCGCTGGTCGGTCCTCGACTCCACAAGAGGGGTTGACTCGAGGGTTGAGGGCTTGGGGTTTACGAAGCCCCTCTGTCGTCATAGTATATACGTTACCCCCCCCTTCGCACATCCCCACCTTGATCCTCGTTAAAAAGAAAGAATGCAGATAAGATGCTCAAACAAAGACACATTGGTTCAAATACGCTTTGTTTGTATGTGCTTGCAACTAGGGTTCCGGGGACACTCTGGAGTTGGGCGCTCAGGGACACTCTGAGGTTGGGCACTCCAGGGACACTCTGGGGTTGAGCGCTCCAGGGACACTCCGGGGCTGGGCACTCCAGGGATGAGCGAGGAGTAGACCGGGCGAGGAGAATAGTTGCGTTTAAAATGCTTAGCTTTAGGGTTTAGGATCCCTCGGGCATGATCTTGTATCATTAAATGTAGCTGGTTTCTGCAACGCTAATTGTTTTCCTATGTTTTTCCCTTGATAATACAACCCGTAAGACCCTTTTTTTTTTTGAGGAGGGACTGCAGTGAACGAGGAAGTTGGAGCGTCAAGGACTTGAGGGCTATAAAATGTGGTTCAGGGTTTAGGGTTTAGGGTTTAGGGCTTAGGGTTTAGGGTTTAGGAGGAGTTTCGAGGAACAGGATAACATAGAGTGCCAACTGTTGCTTCAACTAGCTCGATTCAAAACCCTGAGAACCGTAGAGACCCTAAACCCTAAGGCACCACTAGTATAGGGGCCTTCCTTGATCATTAGAATGAGTATTCTACTGTAGTTATAAAGAAGGAACCCTAAGGGAATACTATTAGTAATTCTTCCTAAACCCCTATACCAGCTAAAAGCCCAAATTGCAACGCAAGCGAGGGCAGCGCTGTCGGCGGCTGCGTGGCCGTACCCCGAGATGGCGAGGAAGGACCTGAGGCTTCTTTGTTTCGGTAGGCCCGTAACCATATTCTCGGAGTTGGGATTCAAATTCGGGGGACCCTTGGGGATATAGACCCTCTCACTACGGTCCGTTTTCGCTGGCACGGAGTGCAAAATTTTTCTGTGAAACTTCAGCAGCAAGCCAAGGGGGCCCCAAAAGCACAACAGCCGACCTTACTGTGCCCACTACCAGAGTATTTTTGGTCTACGACACAACCAATGGCTTGCTCAGCGCTGTGAGGACTCAGATGGCACGTCCTTGCCCTTGGAGGACTGAGATGGCACGTCCTTGGCCTTGGCTGCCTGGCAGGGACGTGCCAAATTTAGGCCTGCAGCAGACTCCTATTTCCATTCAATGCACTCCTATGTCCAACCCTTTTAAACGGCCCACCTCCAACTCGGCCCCAATTGTAAGAGCGACCCTCCGGTTCCGCTCCTCCATGAGCCGCCCCTCCAGGTCAAGCCTCTTGGAGATCTGCGCATCCACCGACTCCCGCGAGACCTTCAGCCTTGCCTCGGCCTTCTCCTTCTCCAGCCGATGATCCTCCACATGCTTCTTGGCAATGGCCATCTCAGCCTTGTGTTGCTGCTTAATCTCCTTGTTCTCATCTTCCAGGGAGCGAGCCTGCTTGCACACGGCGACATGGCTGTTCCACAGCTCAGTGAGCTTCTTCTGCTTCTCGGCCAATGCCTCATCCTTCAAAGCCATTTCCGCAGAAGCTCGCATGATCAGCCGCTGGATCTCCGCATCCTTGTCCTCCCTCAGCTGACAAAAACCATCAAATCAAATGTAACATAGTTTTTAACATAGCATCGCAACAATCCCAAGCACAAAAAACTGACCCAAGACGCAATACAGAAACGTAAAATGTGTTATTCTGCTGGTGGCCAGGTGGCGTTTGGACATCGTAAGCAATGCGCCAGAGCGCCAACTGCTCCTCCAGATCGTTGTTCGAGAACTCCAGCCCATCGATGATCGGCCTGAGCTCCGCCTCCTTCTCCCGAAAGGCCTCGTTGCGGATCTGGCGCTTATACTTCGAGAACTTCGCCTTCGGCACGCCGTGCTCGTCCACAGCCAGCGGCCTTCCTCCACCATAATGCTTGCTGCTCCGCGAGACCCCAGAACCAGAGGCCTCCACCGCGGGCTCCGGCACCGGCCCAGATGCCTGCTCCGCCTCCTGTGGGACCTCACGCTCCGGAATCCAGGCAGAATCCAGCCAGCACCAGTACTCGCCTCGCCACCAGTAGCGCTCGCGAGACTCCGTCATGGTGCCCTGAGAGGCCTTGGAAGGAAGTTCCCCACCTATTTCCAAATAAACACACTAGCTCTATGACAGCTCGTGGAACCATCTTCATGGAAGCCTAAACGACCTATATACCCCTGAGGATGTCGGATTCAATCAGGCTGTCCACAAAGTCAAGGGCTGAAGGCCCAGTCTTGAGCAGGCAAGGCATCAATCACGACCACCACTGCCACCACCACCCCCACCACCACCACACCACCACCAACAACAACCAGCACCACCACCACAACCTGAATTGAAACCATGAGGCGCCTGTCCAGCGCCCACAACCCCCTCTCACACTCAGACCCCCGAATCCCCGAACACCCGGAATTGAAGAAGCAATCAGGGTCTACCACAACCTGAATTGAAACAATGAGGCGCCTGTCCAGCGCCCACAACCCCCTCTCACACTCAGACCCCCGAACACCCGGAATTGAAGAAGCAATCAGGGTCTAAGTGGTGATAAGGGTTCGAACTCTTGGATGTCACTGGGATTAGGGTTTAGGGTTTAGGGTTGTAGCGATTTAGGGTTTAGGGTTGTAGCGCTATGCAGCAACCTCCACACTGCCTGGAAAATGGCGGGTTTAGGGTTTAGGGGGGAGACGGGCCTAGCCTTCTTAGCCCGTACATACCATACTAAGCCCCAACTTCCGAGCAGTCCGAAGCCCACGAATCTGAGGGCCAATCCGGTCAGCGGCAGAAGACGCCAAGCAAATCGGCACGTACCTCCCATCAGTTTCATGGGCCCCGTGAAAAGGGCCCCGTGGACAGGAGTCATGCCATTACTTTAGGGTTCCCAAAAGGGGTGGGTACAAATGGGGTCCGTGATGTGTGCCTGCCATGCACTATGCTGCAAGGGTTGCGGTTCCTCCATAATTACTGTTAACTAAAAGAGGGGATGTATATAGGGTTTAGGGCTTAAAGGTGGAAGTCCAGGGTGGGAAATCCTTAGGGCTTCGGGTTTAGGGCTTAGGGCTTCGGGTTTAAGTTACTGGGCCAATTGGGTGAACAGGGCTGGGATGTGTGGAGGTAACGGCCAGCAATGCAATGCAACTGAGACTGCTGGGCGGGCACTTCAGGAAGGAGTCGGAGCCTGAGTGGCATCTTGGGCCCGTGGGGCCTGTTCAGCCCCTGCAAATCCCAGTGCCTGTTCAGCACTCTTCCCCGGACCCGGACCCCTTCCCAGTGCCTGTTCAGCACTCTTCCCCGGACCCGGACCCCTTCCCAGTGCCTGTTCAGCACTCTTCCCCGGACCCGGACCCCTTCCCAGTGCCTGTTCAGCACTCAACCCCGGCGCCTGTTCAGCGCCCGACCCTGGTGCCTGTTCAGCACCCGACCCCAGTGCCTGTTCAGCACTCAACCCCGGTGCCTGTGCAGCACCCGACCCTGGTGCCTGTTCAGCACCCAAACCATCCCTGAAAGCCTTGGCAAATCTAAGCGCCCGGCACACAGAAGAAGCCGCCGGAGATGACACGGCATCAGGGGGGTGAACGACTGAAGGGTCTAAGTTTCATTTAGGGTTTCAGGTTTCGGGTTTAAGAGGTCAAGGGTTTGCGACTTGGGATTTAGGATTTAGATCAGTTTGGGGCTTAGGGCTTACAGAATGTTTACTGGATCTCGATTTTGAACCATGAGTGTATCGAAAACATAGGCTTGGGCAAAAATCAAAAAATATCCCCAACAAGTGGCAAGTAAACCCTAAACCCTAAACCCTAAACCCCAAACCCTAAACCCTAAACCCGACACCCTAAACCCTAAACCCTAAACCCTAAACCCCAGTTCTAACAGCATTTGAGGCTTGGGCTTGACTCGGAAGAGTTTGTTCGTCTGGAAAATACGTCACAAAGCTGCCGCAGAACAGCAACAAAGTTTTGAGCAGCCAGTTCAAAGTGTAAACTCCAGAGGGTTTTGGGGGGGCTCAAGGGGGGTTTAGGGTTTAGGGTTTAGGGTTTAGGGTTTATAAGCTTTAGGGTTTAGGGTTTAGGGTTTAGGGTTCAGGGTATCCCAAGGTTCCCGCATACACCCCAAGCCTGGGTGCTGAGGTTTGAGGCTTCTTTTATTAGGTTCTTAAGGGAGGGGGTTCTTGGGGTTTAGGGTTTAGGGTTTAGGGTTTAGGGTTTAGGGTTAGGGTAACCCAGGTTGCCTAATTCTCCCCACTACTCCAGCACGCTCCCTGAGCTTCCCTAAAGTTCCCTAGGTACCTACCCAGAACCCTACAAGAAGATCGAGGCTGGAGGCTGCCCAGCTTTTTGAGTTTTTTTTGGGGGGAGACCCCGAATTTCCCTCGAAGCGCTTAATTCGGGATTGATTAGGTTTAGGGCAAATTGCGCCCCAAAGGGGCCTCGGAAGCCCATCAAGCGACTGAAACCCCCACAAACCCTAAACCCTAAACCCTAAACCCTAAACCCTAAACCCTAAACCCTAAACCCCTCAAAAGCTAGAGCCAAGGGGCGGGTGAAGGCGATCGGAGCCGGCTGGGGCCGAGCTGCTCACTTGCCTTAGCTGCCAGGCCGGTTTAGGGTTTAGGGTTAGGGATTAGGGATTAGGCCGGTTTAGGGCTTTGGGTTTCAGGGGGAGGGGGGGGGGGGGGGGGGGGGGGGGGGGAAGGGGTGGTTACACCCCAAATCCTAAACCCTAAGCCTCATCACCACGCCTACTTCTGAGCGCGGCGCGAAGACAAACGCACAAACAGACGTGAGCAGGTTTTTAGAACAGGGCTTTTTCGGGTGTATGAGGTGTTGAAAGTGCTTTGGTTCGTACTTCAGGCTTTATGGTTAGGGTGCTGAAAGTGAAATGAGGATGCTTAGTGGAGCTCTTGTTTTGGGATTGAAGGCTTGGGGCTTGAGATTGCATAATTAGGGCAAGTAAGCCTTAATTACACTCTTTGAGCCTTAAGCCGTCCGTTCACAACTTTGAAGCTGTGCTTGTTAAGGGGAGGGGAGGGTTGCCTAAACCCTAAACTCTCCAAACCCTAATTCCCAAAACCCTAAACCCTAAACCCTCAACCCTCAACCCCAAACCCTAAACAAATAAACAAACAGTTCAGGGCTTTAGGTCGTGCAGCGCGAGAGGCAAAAATGGAACGGAGAGCTGCAGAACAGAGAATCGGCCGGACACCTGAGAAGGAATTTCTCCTAGGGTTTAGGGTACAACTCCCTAAACCCCTTTTACAAAGCCTAAGCCCTCAACCCTGAAACCATGAACCCCAAACGTGTTCTAGGGCTTAGCCTTGCGTGTCTGCAGTCTCTTACTGGCAGGATGCACGGGGTATGTTGGTTCCCAAACTGAGGGGTCTTGGGGTGGGGGGGGGGGGGGGGGGGGGGCACCTTTTTGCATAAGGATTCCTTAAAACCCTGAACCCTAACCCTAGCAGAAGGCCCTAAACCCTAAACCCTAAACCCTAAACCCTAAACCCTAAACCCTAAACCCTAAACCCTAAACCCTAAACCCTAAACCCTGAACCCTACACCCTTGGATTGAACCTCCCAACTCCCCAACATGTGAAAGCTGGGGATGCTTATAGAGCTCAGGGAGCTGGAGGCCCACCGCCCAAGAGCACCACACGACCCTGAACCCTAAGCCCTACTTTCCTAAACCCTGAAATTCTTAATTACCTATCCCGAAACTGTTTATACTTTTTCCTAGAAATCCTAGACCCTGAAAGTGTTAGTTTCCTACCTATCGGGAAGCCCCCCTAAACTGTTTATACTTTTTTTATGGGTTTCCCAAGATGGGAGGGGGGGAGGGATGACAAGACGCTGCTATCGCCACGTGGTGTGCTGCATCGCCACACTGATCTCGTTCAACACGGCAACTTGGAACCGGTCGATATGACAAAGGCGTGTGCTGCACATCACTTCCACGATGTCGACAAGGCTTGTCTTTGACACGTAGCAAAACCGTGAGTGAGGAAGATCCGAAAAGTCGAATGGAAGGTCTTTGTCGTTTGCCGGAACGGCCTTCATGTAGGCGTCCTAACATAGACTAAAAATCAGAAATCTTTCGACTCCGGAGGCTTCCACGAACTGGAATCATTCTGGCGTGGCATAAATCTCTCACCGGTTATCGTCTTCTGAGGTGGTGTCCCAGGACCATATACCCCTGAACTTGGGATGTTCCCCCCTCTGAGACTAAGAGTCCTATATTATAATGAGATATTTACATTACGGGGGGGGGGGGAGGGGGGTATTTTTTATCCCTCTTAAGGACTGCTGGTATGAGGGGGGGGAACATCCCAACCCTAAACCCTAGACTCCAAATGAACACTACGCTGCAGCCAGCAGGTCCGAAAGCTCAAAGAAAGACGTCGCATTGTTCAACGCAGTACATCTTAGAACACACGCACCCCGTATGGGTTTAGGGTTTAGGGTTTAGGGTTTAGGGTTTTAAGGTTTAAGGTTTAGGGACAGTCAAGTCCTGTACAAGGCCTGGCCTGGCCCTCCGCATCGGACTGGACAATGACAGAACCCATCCTCGGCAGGGCATGGAGGGAGGGTTTGGGGTTTGGGGTTTGGGGTTTGGGGTTTGGGGTTTGGGGTTTGGGGTTTGGGGTTTGGGGTTTGGGGTTTGGGGTTTGGGGTTTGGGGTTTAGGGTTTAGGGTTTAGGGTCTGGGGTTTCGGGTTTAGGGTTTAGGGTTTAGGGTTCATGGGGGGTTAGGTAACTCGGGAAGCTTAGGGAGCCTTAGGGAGTAGTAGGGTGTGTCAGGGAACCTTGGGTTATATGCCCCCTTTGAAGCCCCCTCTCTTAAGAACCCTAAACCCTAAACCCTAACCCCTAAACCCTAAACCCTCTAAACATAGCGATGAGAAGGCCTCCCTGGCCCCTCCAACGCGAGTGGCTCTTGAAAACCCTCAACTTGGGATGTTCACCGCTTGTTTTGACAGTCCTGAATAGGGATTCTAATTGCGGGTACTATCATCTCTATTCAGGGCGGTTAGTTTACGGGGAACATCCCAAACCCTAATCCCTTAACCCTAAACCCCGAACTTTACAGCCTTTAACGTACCGCAAATGCCCTCAACAACCCCTAAACCCTAAACCCTAAACCCTAAACCCTAAACCCTTAACCCTAAACCTAAACAAGATGCCCTTCGGCCCCTGGACCACAAGCCCAATTGTAAGGTCCGATGGCGGCCGTGAGGTGAAAGGCCACAGCCCCAAGGACTCCGCAAACAACAACGGTTTAGGGTTTGGGGTTTAGGGTTTAGGATTTAGGGTTTAGGGTTTAGGGTTTAGGATTTAGGGTTTAGGATTTAGGGTTTAGGGTACAAAAACCGCTAGTAAGCTTAAATAAGGGACATATTACGTCCAGGGCTTGGGGTTCATTCGGGTTGGGCAGGGGCCAGGTCGTATTTAGCCTGCAAATTCTGACGCCTGATGCGGCAAACCTCACGCAATTGCACAAACACCGAAGAAAAAAAAAACGCGCATGCACACACGCAAAGCAAAAAACAAAACAAGCAAAACAACACACACACACACACACACGTTTGTAATTGCAAAACCCTGTATTTCCGTCTATATTTTAATAGGAAAACCTCTATGTTCCTAATTTTCTTTTGTAAGAAAACAACTATTTTCTGGCAATTCTTGCACGGCTTAAAACAGGGGGGAGTTGGAAGGGCGCAGTCCCCCCCCCCCCCCCTTTTGCAAACACAATGCTCGCATCATGGGTTTTGAAAAGACGCGTGCACTTTGAAGCAAGTTTGCGCGACTTAAAACAGCAGGGGGGTGGGGGGGGGCGGGGTGGGGCGCACCCCCCCCCCATTTGCAAACACAATGCTCGCATCATGGGTTTCGAAAAGACGCATGTGCTTTGAAGCAAGCTTGCACAACTTACAAACACCCCCCCCCTATTTGCAAACACAATGCTCGCATCATGGGTTTCAAAAAAAAGCGTGTGCGTTGAAGCAAGCTTGCACGACAGCCAGGGGGGGGGGGGGGGGCACAGCCCCCCCCCATTTGCATACACAATGCTCGCATGGCTTTCGAAAAGACGCATGTGCTTTGAAGCAAGCTTGCACGACTTAAAACAGCCCCCCCCCCATTTGCAAACACCATGCTCTCATCATGGGTTTCGAAAAAATGCGTGTGCTTTGAAGCAAGCTTGCGCAGCCCCCCCCCCCCCCCCCGCCATTTGCACACACCATGCTCGCATCATGGGTGTCAAAAAGACGCGTATGCTTTGAAGCAAGCTTGCACGACTTAAAACAGCGGAGGGGTTTGGGGGTGGCAGCCCCCCCCCCCCCCCATTGAAAAACACAATGCTCGCATCATGGGTTTCGAAAAAAACACGCATGCTTTGAGCAAACTTGCTCGACTTAAAACAGCGGGGGGTTGGAGGGGGGCGCAGCCCCCCCCATTTGCAAACACAATGCTCGCATCATGGGTTTCAAAAAAGACGCGTGTGCTTTGAAGCAAGCTTGCGCGACTTAAAACAGCGGGGCCCCCCATTCGCAAACACAATGCTCACATCATGGGTTTCGAAACGACGCGTATGCTTTGAAGCAAGCTGGCACGACTTAAACAGCGGGGGGGTTGGGGGGGGCACTGCCCCCCCCCCGCCCCGCATTTGCAAACACAATGCTCGCATCATGGGTTTCCAAAAGACGCGCATGCTTTGAAGCAAGTTTGCACGACAGCGGGGGGGTTGGGGGGGGGGGCGCAGCCCCCCCCATTTGCAAACACAATGCTCGCATCATGGGTTTCCAAAAGACGCGTGTGCTTTGAAGCAAGCTTGCGCGACTTAAAACAGCGGGGGGGCTGGGGGGGGGACGCAGCCCCCCCCCCCCCCCCCATTTGCAAACACAATGCTCGCATCATGGGTTTCGAAAAGATTTGTAATTATGCTTTGAAGCAAGCTTGCACGGACTGCGGGGGGGTCGGGGGGGGGGGGGGGGGGGGGGGGGGGGGGGCGCAGCCTCCGTTTGATATCATAATTATCTATTGCAATGTGTATATATACATATATAGTCGGTACTACATACACTATATTTTGTATACATTATGTATCGTATATATCTATGTGTGTATACTATATATATATATACTATCTTTTCCGAAATATGTATTATACATAGATATATAGATATATATATATATATATATATATTCCTGGCCTCGTCGTTCCAAGGAGAAGCTCGCGCGGCGATTTAAGGGTTTAGGGTTTCGGCTTTAGGGTGTAGGGTTGGGTTTAGGGTTTAGGGTTTAGGGTTTATGTAACTTGTAACCCGCGATGCCCGTGCAGGGGATTACTGCATCCTCCCAATTGGGAGGATGCAGCAATGCTGCATTCTCCCAATTGGGAGGATGCAGGAAACCCGCCCCGCAGAGCTAAAGATTAAAAAAAAAAAAAACAACATCCAGGCAGGCCAGCAACGAATTACTGGGGTTTAGGCTCACGACTAAGGGTGGCTTCTGTTGATAGCCCCTGTCATCAGCGGATTTTTAGGGGTACGGGATTTCACGAAGGGATAAACATCTCAACTTACTTAAACAACCCTCTTTTTAGGGCTGTGAACCCGTAAAAAACCCTAAACCCCTTTTGGAAAAAAAAAAACGTGCATGGAAAAGGTGTGCTGACAATGGCTCTTGGAAAAAATCCTCCTAGCATAGACCTGAGGAGCAAAAAAAAGTAAAACCCAGCAACTGTGAATCCCTATCTAAACCCCGAACCTGATACCTGTTTCTTCCGGCACCCGTTGTTTGTCAGCACACGCAAGCCGGGCAATCTGGAGGGTATTGTGGACCAGCCTAAATGTTCTACGATGTAAATTAGACATAACATACTATAACCCGTGAATGCTTAGGATCTTTTGGGGTTCAGCCGTCAATACCACGATCTCCGCGCTGTGTACTTATGTACTCTGGGAGGGTACGACGCTTCAACATTTAGGGTTTCGGGCAATAGGGTTTAGGTTTAGGGCAAAGAGTTTAGGATTTAGGTTTAAGGGTTTTAGGGTTCAGGATGGTTCAGGGCTTCTGGTCTTACGCTGGATCTCCGATCCAATCGGAGAACTGCTGCCAGAACCTCTGTGAGCGGAGATCGCCGTATAATCCGGCGAGGCGAGCCTGCCGGTCAGCCTTAAAGCCTGCCCGCTCTACTTCAGCGTTTCCGAAATCTCGGAGCGCGCTCTTGTAGTAGCGCCAGCAGTAGATTGACCAGTGGTGAGGCCTCCTGCAATGGTGGCAAAATGTCCAGTATACCCTCTCGCGCAAAAACAACTCGGGCTCAGGGGGTTTTACCGCGCGGGCAGGAAAATCGTTAAGAACGTGCCACAGGGGTAAATCCAGTTGGTTCCGCCGGCCCCTGAGTGCCCACGCCACACCTGGAAACTGCCTGCATGCTTCGGCCAGGGAAGGGGGGCGGGGAGGGGAGGGGCCGCAGCGGCCGGGGTTGGGGTGGCGGGGACAAAATTGGCACGAGCACGAGGCAGTTTGCCGTTCGCCGGCGGCTTGCCAACCGGCTTCGGGGCGGTGCGAATTAGGTCACGCCCGCCTGGTGCGCTGGGGGGCCCTGCAACCCCTCCCCTCACCACGCCTTTCGCGGGCGGTCCACCCGGCCGCCCCCTTCCCCCGACCCTTCGGATGGGGGTGGAGGGGCTGAGGCGGCGGGCCTAGCAGGTAGCATCCTTTAAACCCTGAACCCTAAACCCTAAAACACATGTATCCCATAATCGTATTATTGCTACCTGCCCCGCAGAACGAGTTACAGTGGGGTTTGGGTCTTAGGGTCTATGTGGGCTCCCTCAGCGTCTAGGACTTATAGGGTTTGGGGTTTTGGGCTTACAGTAGTAGGGTTTATTGAACTGTTGAAAACGTGAAAGCTATCAACGACACGGTTTATATAGGGTGTATAGGGTCAGTCAAATCTTATTGAAGAGTTGCAGTTTGAGCATCAAAAGAGCCGCAGAGCCGCGACTAGCATCGCTTGGGGATCTTTCAGCTGGCCCTCATAGATGATGCTCACAAAGCTTATAACGTTCACAGCTGGGACTCAGACTGTGTAGAAACAAGCACACAAGCCCGTGCAAACACCATGCATCCTGTTTCTTCGCTTCGCCGTGCCCACATGCATAGAGCCCTTTCCATGGCTTCTGGCAAGCTATGGTCTCGAACGACTCTGGCATGGCGTTTGCCAATACTCAGAAGCAACATGGTAGTTTCCGAAGATAGGGGGGGTACCCTTTTCGGGTGTCCCTATAAGGGGATTCCATTCTATTTGGGGTACAAAAGGGGTAAACCCTAAACCCCCATTTTCGGAAATACGCCGTCGGGTGGATGTCCGGCGTTGTGAACATGTCGAGCCCACGCACGCCGAAAGGGCTGCAGATCCCTGTATACTACGAAACCAAAAATCACAGCTAGAAATCCCTATTTTGCCATGAAAAGGAAGATTCGTTCTTATGTTTCGGGGCTTCAGCAACTAGTAGCCAAGCAGCCATCGTGAGACGCGCAGGTGGACTATGCAGC